CCCTCATTCCCACCTTCCCCCCCATCCTTAATCCTGGGACTTTCCCCCTGACCTTTCCCAACTTTCTCCAATTTTCCTCCAGACTTTTCCCAATATTCCTCAATTTTCCCCCAATTTTCCCCCTGACTTTTCCCAATTTTCCTCCTGATTCCCCCCGATTTTCCCCGTGACATTCCCCAACATTTCCCCCATTTTTCCCAACTTTTCCCCCAATTTTCCCCCTGACTTTTCCCAACTTTCCCCCTCAGTTTTCCCCCTGACTTTTCCCAGCTTTTCCCCTGATTCCTCCCGATATTCCCCCTGACTCTTCCCCAGTTTTTCCCTCAGTTTTCCCCCTGACTTTTCCCAGCTTTTCCCCAGTTTTCCCACAATTTTCCCCCTGACTTTTCCCCGCTTTCCCCTGTCCCTAATCCCGGGATTTTCCCGTTTTTCCCAGAAAAAGGACCCGGCCCAGTTCCTGCAGGTGCACGGCCGGGCCTGCAAGGTTCACCTGGACTCCGCCGTGGCCCTGGCGGCCGAGAGCCCCGTCAACATGTGAGCCTGGGCCGGGAATTCCCGCCTGGAATTCCCTGGGATTGCCTCTGGAATATTCCTGGGATCGCCCCCCAGGGATGGAGAAATCCGGGATTTCCCAGGGGTTGGAATTTGGGCGGTTTTGGGCAAATCCGGGAAGGATTGGAGCTGCTGTTCCTGTTTTTGCTAAAGGAATTTTGGTCATTTCAGGGATAAATTCCATGGAATTATCTCTGGAATATTCCTGGGATCGCCTCCCAGGGATGGAGAAATCCGGGATTTCCCAGGGGTTGGAATTTGGGCGGTTTTGGGCAAATTCAGGAAGAATTGGAGCTGCTATTTTTGTTTTTGCTGAAGGAATTTTGGTCATTTCAGGGATAAATTCAATGGAATTATTTCTGGAATATTCCTGGGATCGCCCCCCAGGGATGGAGAAATTTGGGATTTCCCAGGGGTTGGAATTTGGGTGGTTTTGGGCAAATTCAGGAAGGATTGGAGCTGCTGTTCCTGTTTTTGCTGAAGGAATTTTGGTCATTTCAGGGATAAATTCCATGGAATTATCTCTGGAATATTCCTGGGATCGCCCCCCAGGGATGGAGAAATCCGGGATTTCCCAGGGGTTGGAATTTGGGCGGTTTTGGGCAAATTCAGGAAGAATTGGAGCTGCTGTTCCTGTTTTTGCTGAAGGAATTTTGGTCATTTCAGGGATAAATTCCGTGGAATTATTTCTGGAATATTCCTGGGATCACCCCCCAGGGATGGAGAAATTTGGGATTTCCCAGGGGTTGGAATTCGGGCAGTTTTAGGCAAATCTGGGGAGAATTCAGATTATTATTGGAATTATCACTCCCATTTTTTTGCTGATGGAAAGGAGGAATTCTGCTCATTCCAGGGAGAAAATCCCATGGGATCCTCGCTCTGGAATCACCCCCAGAGCTGGATAATTTCCCCCAAAATGAAATTTAACTTTTTGCTCCAAAGAAAACTCAGCTTTTTGGGGGAACCACCTTTCCCTTTTTTTTTTTTTTGCTGAAGGAAAAGGGGGGGAATTCTGACCATTCTGGGTGGGAATTCCAGGATTTTTCCCGTTCCCAAGGCTTGGTTTTTCCCGGCAGGATGCCCTGGCAGGGAGACACCAACAACATGATCGACAGGTTCGACGTCCGTGCTCACCTGGATTTCATCCCCATGTACACCCCGGCCCTGCTCAGCCCCACGTAAGACTCCCAAAAAATCCCCATAAGATTCCCAAAAAAATTTACCATAAGATTCCCAAAAAAATTCCCGAGGAATTCTCAGCGGTTTCGGGGCTGGGGTCCCGCCAGGGCTGGGTGGGAGGGTCCTCAATCTGTGTTTTGACCCCAAAATCTGCATTTGGTCTCGGAAAATCTCCTGAAATTCTGCTTTAAATCCCCAAATTCCGCCTTTGATCCCAACAATTCCTGTTTTAATCCCAAAAGTCCACGTTGGATTTGTAAAAATCTGTGTTTGAGAGCCAAAATCCCCCTTTGGAGCCATAAAATCGCTCTTTTTTTTAGCAAAAATCCCCTTTTGGATCCTCAAAATCTCACTTTGAACCCATAAAATGCACACTGGATCCCCAAAATCTCACTCTGAACCCTGAAATCCCTGTTTTGATCCCAAAATCCCTTCAGAATTCCCATTTTTCCAACTCACCAGAGCAGGAATCGCAAAATGTAACAGCACACAAATGTAATTATGGAGGGGGGGAGGGGAAGATCCCTAAAATTCCTCATTTTTTTCCCTTAAATCCAGCTTTTTTTAGCACAAAATCTTTCTTTGATCCCTAAAATTCACTTTTAACCCCCAAAATCCCCATTTTGATCCCCAAATCCCCTCAGAATTCCCATTTTTCCAGCTCACCGGAGCAAGAATCGGACGAGCGCAAACGCAACTGCGAGGAGGGAAGGCCCTCACAATCCACCTTTTTTCCCCCCCAAATCCAGGCTTTTTCCCCCCCAAAATCCACTTTGGGACCTCAAAATCCACCTTTAACCCCCAAAATTCCCATTTTGATCCCCAAATCCCCTCAGAATTCCCATTTTTCCAGCTCACCGGAGCAGGAGTCGGACGAGCGCAAATGCAACTACGAGCGGTATCGGGGCCTGGTGCAGAACGACTTCGCTGGCAGTGAGTCCCTTTTTTCCTGTTTTTTATGGGAATTCCGGCCCCTCTGGATCCCCTGGGGGTGGTTCCTGAGGGGTTTAGGGAATGATTTGATCCCAAAATTCCCAATCCCAGTCTCGGAGGAGCAGTGCCTGTACCAGATCTACATCGACGAGCTCTACGGGGGCCTGCAGAAACCCAACGAGGATGAGAAGAAAAAGTGAGGGGGAAAAAAAAGTCAGAATTCCTGGGAATTCCAGCTGGGAAATCACCGGGAATGCACCCCCACACTCTCGGGAATGATCCTAATTCTGGGATAACGCCCCCAATCCCAGTTTTTCCCCTCACTCCTTTGCTGGAATCTCCCCCAAAATCGTCCTGGGAAGGGCTCCTGGTTTTGTCTGGGGGGTTCTGGCTTGGGATTCCCATTTTCCCTCAGAATTCCTGCTTGTATTTCCCATTTTCCCTCAGAATTCCCCCTCAGAATTCCCATTTTCCCTCATAATTCCCCCTCAGAATTCTCATTTCCCCTCACAATTCCCATTTTCCCTCACAATTTCCTCTCAGAATTCCCATTTTGCCTCACAATTCCCCCTCACAATTCCCCTTTTCCCTCATGATTCCCATTTCCCCTCAGAATTCCCATTCCCCCTCACAATTCCCCTTTCCCCTCATAATTCCCCCTCAAAATTCTCATTTCCCCTCACAATTCCCA